TGTCTTTTCTTCACTGCCATCAAGAAGTGAACACATAATATAATATATAGATATCTGTGTGAGTGGCTTATACAGACAGAAATGCATTATAACTGACCAGTGTTTTTAAAAATATAACTGGAACTGACTGATTACAGTTTGTACACATCTATAAAATGTAATCAGTCAGTTTGCTCCTTGGCCCCAAAGAGGCCTCACTACATTCAGCATAATCTGTGTGGTTCACGGTCTTTTTATTTATTACCAGTATCACTGTTTTATCTGGCTGTTGTCCACTCCTCTTTCTGAATGTGCTCCTGTTAAAATATCTCTGCTCTTTAACTTCATTTTTGTTCCACATCACTGTCAAATAAAACCTGCACTTTTCTCATCCTGCAAACCGGCTCAGCTCAACGTTTATGCAAAAACGGTCTGATAATAAAACAGTCAAGCTAAATTAAAAATGCACTAAATAACCTTGTGCACACATACGTTTTCAGACTTTCATAAACTCACCCGTATGTCATGTTCAGTCGGAGTTATCTCCACAGTGCTGCGTCACATCAGTCTGCAAATCATAAAAGTTGGAAAATGGTTATTGAACAGGCATATATTTAAAAAAAATAAAAAGATAATATAAGGCCTAACCATTTACCTGAATGAAAATGATTAAATAGGTTAAACAAGGCTGAGTTCACACACTCGCTGTTTATGCATCTGTAGAAATGGAGAAAAAAAAAAAGAAGTATAGATTAAAATCTTGTAATCTATAGTTTCTTTACACATTTGTATTTTGTATTTTAAAGCAATATTGTACTCAATGAATCATGTCACCTTTTATTCCATTTTATAGAAACAGTGTTGAATAAAGCTCCTTAAAACATAGATATTGATCTGGGGATGTCATTTAAATATGAAAACAAAACTTTAAGAGGGTATAAAGCCTTTATTCACATGGATACTCAATGATGAATCTCCTAAACATAGACGAGAATGTTAAAATAAACCCACACATCGCAGGACAAACAGCTTTTTCATGGTTTGTGCCGTTATAAGCCTGCTTTATTGTCTATGTTTTTAATAATTCCAACATGATAGCTATTTTATTAAAGGTTAAATTCAAGTCAGTATGCTTTTATGGCATGGATATCAAGTTCACAATAATATCAAAGTATCTGGGATGGTGTGATAATGTAAAAAACAAAAGAAAAATGAAATGAGACCATTAGTAGTCGTTGGTGAAATAAAATAAAAGACAGGTAATATGTGGCATGTGTGAGTGCCATATCTATATTAAGCTTTGTCAAGATAATCGGCATATCCAGTCATGTTTTAATTATATTTTCTGATTGTTTTTTGTCCAGATAAATCATAGTTCTGCAGAGAAAAGCAGCTCACTGCACTCAGGTGTCCAGCCGCTGCAGTGCGGACACCCGGACCAGCAGGGGGCGCTGCTGCACCGCCACATTTAGCATGCTAACGCTGCTAGCTGTCAAAGGGACAGCCTAGCTTCAAACATGGCCCGACCCCGAGCTGCTGCTGCTTCTGACAGCCTCTGAATAATATCAACGTTTCGCTCATTTTATTTAAAGCCATGCTGCGGACACTGTGTCGGGCCGGTGGCGCCGTTTTAAAGGTAAAGACCGAGTTTAATAGGCGCTGACGGTCTTTGTGTGCTAACATGCTAACCTGCTAGTTCAGCCGGTAAAGTTACTAGCAGCCGGTTCTGTTAGCACCTGTTCTGTTAGCACCTGTTCTGTTAGCACCTGTCGTTATTTATATCAGTAATATGTGTCCATAGAATAAGCAGAGAGAGGAAGTGACCGTAGAGTGTAATAACTGTGGACAGGTGTGTTACTGCTCTGTTATAATGGAACACAGAACAGGTGGAACTCTGCTGCAGGTTTCTAGAACAATGTTGTGGATAGAAGATGTTTTTTTAACCAAGAGACGTTTATTTAAATCACTGTTATTTATGAAACATATTTAAAATAAGAGAAGTTGAGCTTAATGGCTTTTTAGTACAATATGACATGTTGTAAATAGTAGTTATTAAATAATAATAATACACTATTAATTATTGTGTAATATTGCATGAGTGGTTTAAATATTAAGATTAATATTACTGTATATGAATTAAAATATTATTGTATATATAAGTCTATTTACCTGGCTAATTTATTATCACAATTAAAACCCAGAGAGATGATATATAATATGAATTTACTAATTAAAATATTTAGGTTCAAACCCTAAAATGTTATATATAATACCAATTTGCCAAAATATTAAAAGCCTACAAAATTTTATAAAATATAATTTTACCTTACAAATTAAATGTGAAGGTTATGACTAAAATATTATATAAAATACAAATTTGCCAAAGTAATTTAAAAATTAAGGTTAAGATCCTCAAATATTATATATCATAAAAAAGTGACCAGACTAGCTTAAATATTAAGGTTAAGATCCCAAAATATTATATGTATATAATCTACCTGACTAATATTAAATATTAACCTGAGTAATTTAAATATTACGATTGAAACCCTGCAAAATAATATAAAATATAAATGCACCTCACGAATTGTTCAAATTAAGTGTTAAGGTTAACATATATAAATATATTTACATTATTTATATGGATATATAAAGTAATATTATATATTACTATGTATATTATAGTTAAAACCCTTTAAAATGATTTAAAATACAAATAGAATTGACGAAGTTAAATACTGAGGTTAAGACTCGACACTAATCTATACAATGCAACATGACCTGACTAAATATCAACTGTAAGACCCTGCAATATTAAATATTATAAAAAACACCTGTCTAAATAAAATTATTTGGTTAATATTCTCCAGTTTTATTATGTAAATTTACTTAAATAATTTAAATACTACAATGAATACCCTGCAAAGTAATGTAAAATACACAGCTACCTCTCTACCTTTAATATTAAGGTTAAAATATTAGAACATTTACAAATTTACCTGAGAAACTAAATCTGAAGATTAAGGCCCTGTGTATATAGTATAAATTATTTTGACTAACTTAAATAATACGTTTAAGACTCTACGATACTATATGTCATACAAACGATCCTGATTGATTGAAATATTAAGGTTAACATCCTACATATTATGCATCAGTGCATCTACTTTTACAAGAATCTGTAGAATATCAACAATGCATGTTACTTGTTCATTTTTATTTTTTCAACTGTTGCAATTTCCCCTCTGTGGGATTCATTCTTATCTTATGCTCTAAATAATCCTAATTAACCTTAGTACTAAAATGTCAAAAACAAACCAAAACAACCGAACAAATGACTAATTTACAATTAAAAGCTTTAAGTTAAGCGCTTCAGTGGCTGACAGGAGTTACACCCTACCAAGTACTTGGACACAGCGACCAATAACCAATAGTGAAGAAGGAATGACTGAAGTGTGGTTTTATAACTGTGGTACGTGGACTCTGTGCAGACCTCCCAGCGTGCAGCGCCCAGGTTGTGGGCGACCCTGGCCCAGCAGCGATGGGCCTCCCGCCTGCCCATGAACACCGTGGTGCTGTTTGTGCCGCAGCAGGAGGCTTGGGTGGTGGAGAGGATGGGACGCTTCCACCGCATTTTAGAGCCGGTAATTCATCTCAACCACAAAGAGGCTAAAGTCTCCCTTCCATCAGGCTGTTAAGTCCTCTCTTTCCGTCTGTTCCTACAGGGACTGAACCTCCTCATTCCCATACTGGACCAGATTCGGTACGTGCAAAGCCTGAAGGAGATCGTCGTCGACATCCCTGAGCAGTCAGCTGTGTCCCTCGGTACGTGTTTCTGGTACATTCGTGCCTCTTACTGGTTTAATTAATAAGTCGTTACAGCTGAGTAAACCGGTACTTCCTGATTTTCACACAGATAATGTGACGTTGCAAATTGACGGAGTCCTGTACCTGAGAATCTTAGATCCTTATAAGGTACGTTAAGAATTGTTGAAACACTAAATTACTTCGAGGTCTTCGTCTCGATTATCTTTGATTTGCTTGAAACTTTTAAAAACATTTTTTTAAATTGTTACCTTTGAAAGTCGATGATTTATGAAGCTAAAATTTCACAGATATCTTTATAAATGTCCATATTTTATGCTGGGAAATCTTCAGCTAAATCAGAGATCAGAGCAGAAACCGTTCTAAAGATGTGATTATGTGATTCACCCTGTTGGCCAGCAGGGGGCACCAGCTCATTCCGTTGTGTCTTTGCAGGCCAGTTACGGAGTTGAAGATCCAGAGTATGCAGTGACTCAACTGGCACAAACCACAATGCGCTCAGAGCTGGGCAAACTCACACTAGATAAAGTGTTCAGGGTGAGAACCCTCATCACGTTGCATAAAAATGCCACTACTAGTAATAATACAGGTGTAGTCAGTACCTTAAATGTGTCGCCCCTCTCTGGTTTTCAAGGAAAGGGAGTCTCTTAACTTGAGCATGGTCCACTCCATCAACCAGGCGTCAGACGAGTGGGGAATCCGCTGCCTGCGTTACGAAATCAAAGACATACAACTTCCAAATCGTGTTAAAGAGTCCATGCAGATGCAGGTAAGACGCAGTCGCTCACCTGGAAGTTCAGATTTTACTGAAATCACAGCCGCGTTCTTTGCAGTGAATTCTTGTTCAGTATTAAAGCTTATACATTACAAATACTCTAGTACAACTCAATAAATAATGCCATTTTCTTTAAATTAATTGCTTAATTTTGTAAATTGTTGAATACTTTTCCCAAAAAATGGAACCTGTCTGACCTAAAAACCCATCAGCAACATGACGCTCTGCTGGAAAAATGATCAAAATCAAGCTTCAAATTGTCACATTTCTTCAAAATCACAGTCGCTCCAACTGCATTCTGTATAAAACTACAAATTCTGCAGCCGTCAGCACAACTGAGAAGCCACTCAGCAGTCATGTGATAAATGTTTAAGGGGTTTTCAACTGAGCTGCAGGCTGTGTTTATACTCAGGTAGAAGTCAAGTAAGGAAACAAATCAGTGGTGTGTTTTTTTCCCCCCATTTGTAACAAAAATTTAACACAGAATACAGAAATTCAAACTAGTTTTCTCTATCTTTATGATTTCTGACATTATAACTGCACAGAAGACGTTTGAATCCTCTGTGCTTCTAGTTTTCCATCGAGGTTCAGGACTTTTTACAACAAAAACGAGCCACGACTGTGACCGAAGCAAAAAAATGCTCCGAAATATCTCAGCGTTCAGAGTGGTAACTTTAGCTTTGAAACTTTATTTAGTGTGACTGATTGCGGTCACGTTAACGCCCTGTAGTGGCATTTCCACCGCTTTCATACAAGCTCCAGTTTTGTTTCTGCCCTTTTCCGATTTCACAAATAAAATATTGTTGAAATTTCCCAGCGCTGAAAGACGCGCTTGTCCTCCCTGCCACCCACCACTTTCACGGCAAGTGACGGTGACGTGGATGGCTGGTCACAGGCGTGGCGGTCGGAGGTCGCCGGGGGGCAGCGTGCGACGTGTTTTATTGGTAGACGATTGGCGGTGCGAATTGCAAACAAGAGAACCAATCAACAATAACGCTCAAAGCACCAGAAAGCTGCCGGCACGCTGCTAAATGAGTGGACCACATGTCCTCGAAAGGCATCTGACACTTCACGGTGTTTAAATTTGAGCGATGGTGGCAACCGAAGGCATTCCTCTGCAACGAAAACACACGTAACTCGTCATTCAGCAGCTCCGTACGAGCAGAATTATGTAAACTTTGATGTGCGGCGATAACTCATAAAACAATCAAAGCGCTGACAGGTTATGAAAACCGTCCAGTTTCCCTGGAGAAGAAATATCCGACTTTGTTCTCTGCTTCCTGTGTAGGTGGAGGCAGAGCGCAGGAAGCGAGCCACGGTGCTGGAGTCTGAGGGGACTCGGGAAGCTGCCATCAACGTCGCCGAGGGTAGCAAGCAAGCCCAGATCCTGGCTTCAGAGGGGGAGAAGGCCGAGCAGATCAACAAAGCTGCTGGTTGGTGCTTTTTGTAGTTTCTTTGGGCTCGTTTTTCACTGCAATATAAAGTCCTGCACCTCTATGGAAACAGAAGAAGGAGAGAGAACTCCAACATGACAGTTGTAACGCCACGAATCATTCAAATCCATCAAGAAAGTTGCTTTTTGTTTGATGACCTATTTTACAAAACTGGAAAGAAAATGTAGCTTTACATACGAGAGAAGTTTTACCACTTTTTAAACATTTTTTGGGGTCTTTTTACAGAATCTAGTTTGTGCACACGGTTTGTTTTTGTTGAAATGGTGGCTCCACATATGATAGATATTTTACTGCTTTTACTTTTAATCTGTTCTCATACTATTCTGCTATCTGCTCTGTAAATGCCACCTGCAGTTTAGTCAAACAGTCAGAGTTTTTGTCACGTGACTGTTGGCTTTGCATTTGCACCAACTGGACGTGTAAAATAAAATGATTTTGATGAACTGTCACGATTTTAAGCTTGGATTTGGTGAAATTTTCCGACCAAACAGCTCGAGGACTGTCAGCAAATTGACCATCCTTCAGTTCTTTTTAAACATTTTTTAGCTCTGATTTAAAGACAACTCACCTTTCACCCCAAAAGCAAAAGGCACGCTCAGAGGGTTAAAGGAACAACTGTGGAGTTTTCCATTCACTCAGTTACATGCATGAATCATGTGATCGTGCATGTAATTGAAGGTTTTGTTAACTTAGGACTTAAGCCGTCATTACACCGAATCCACAAAGCATTTAATTACGTGCCTGCAGACTGTGTTACAACACTGTACACAGGGATCTCACAACTCATGGTCATATCAAACACGGTTACTGACATCGAATCGGGAGGGGTGTTGAAAAAGTACGCTTAAAGCCTCTAATGCTGCAAATCCAAAATAAACCCACTCTGGTTGTTAATTTACATTTTGTGCTGTCTCTAGGTGAGGCCCAGGCTGTGTTGGCCAAAGCAGAAGCCCAATCCAAGGCCATCCGTCTGCTGTCAGAGGCTCTGGCTGAACAGGTATGAAGCAGATTTTAAACGCTTCGTCGACTATTAAAGGATGAGAAATGATCATCAACCCTGAGTTCGTCTTAACGTTTTTCCCAGTATTCAGAGTAACCAGAGTTTTTTTCCTAGAACGGGAACGCTGCAGCCTCACTGAGTGTTGCAGAGCAGTACGTGTCGGCTTTCTCCAACCTCGCTAAAGAATCCAACACGGTGCTGCTGCCGTCCAACACCGGAGACGTCAGTGGGATGGTCACGCAGGTATCCTGTTGTTTAACAAGAGTGTTTGTTTTTAGTCGAAGAAAAAGTTCAGTGTTTTTGGAGATGCTCTAGTTTGGTTTTGTTTAGGTTAGTGGTGCTGGAAGCTGGACTTCGTTACCGTCAGACAGAGCCACGTCCTGTCTTTATGCTAAGCTAAGCTAGCTGGCCCGTGTTTGCAGCTTCATATGTAGTAAACAGATGGGAGGAGGGCGTCATTCTTGCTACCTCACGCTTGTCAAACTAGTCAAAAAATTCAAATGCTTTTTTTCCAAATTCATTAGCTTGACCTCTTGTTTTAGTTGCATGAAAAAAAAAAATTTCTGAACTTTAGAAGAGCTTGTTTTAATGGACAAAATTAGAGAAATACTGATCTGATCTGACAGTTTGTGGCAGGACGCTGGTTATACAGATTTTGGCTAATTTCCCTAATCAACATTTAATAGCTTTATGAATCAATAATTGATTCATCGGGAATATAAATTCAGCACAGTAGATATGTGTCCTGTGCTGATTGTAGCTGACTGTGTTACATACATTACAGGGACATAGGAACGCTGTCTTTGTAAACCCCAGCTTGTCTTAAACTCTGCTCAGAGGTCCTTTAGAAGTCCCACAGAAGTCTTTGTCATGGTGCCCACTGTTAGCTTAATGGAACGACCTGTAGTCTGAGTGACGCCTCCTCGGGTCCCTACAGTAATAAACAGTGAAAGGCTCCACCTGGTGGAACAACCAGGTACTACAGTTATTCTGCAATCCATTTTCTGACTTTTTTAATTCGACAAAAAAAACTAACAGCAATTAATCAATTAAATGTGATTCATTAACATCCTCACAAGACGCAGCTAAAGTGTCTTTGGTGAGGGGGGTAGTAACAGAACTGCAGTCAATACCACCAGTGTGATGCAGGTTTCCACCTTCTTTTGGAACCATGGTACACGCTAAACTCTCCACGCTGCATTTCAAACAGCACCCTACCGGAGCTTTACAGCAGTGTTCGTGACCGCCTACGAAATGTTAGGAAACAACTTGATTGATTTTAATTACTTTAATGCACTTGATGTGTGTAATATCCTGGAAAATGGATTTGTGACTCGGTATGAGCAGACTCACGTTGGATCATGGGGCAAAAAAATTAAAAATAAATCCTTGATCGGGACAGCCCTACCAAAATATTTATAAACTATATATCAAGGATTCCGGTCAGTGTCGACTGCATACGGATCAGTGACCTGCAGGGAACTACAGCAAAAAATGTCAAAAATGTTTCACTCTACAACTCAGTTATATTTGGGTAATTCTGACTACAAATGAATGCCGGTTTAAACCCAGCCCAGTTTATTTCTTTTTAATGCATGTGATCCTGATGTTCCACTCTCAATAATAAGAATGAAGAAATAGCTCAACAGAGGAAACTATGCTGCTCGATGTGGGTAACACTCTGCGTGTTGTTTTTCTGCCCTCAGGCCATGACAATTTACAGCACGCTGTCCAAACCGAGGCTAAAACGCGACGGCATAAAGACCAAGACAGAGGAGCCGATTGAAGAGCCTCCCGTCCAATCAGCATCGACTCAGTAGCGGAGGACGCCGTCGCCGCTGTAAAAGGGAGGAATCGGTTTTCCACAGTTGCGGAGTACAATGGCGCTGCTGTGTGGAGAGCCTGTCTGCTGTAAAGACGCTCAATCTGCTGCTGAGCACAGGATGTCGAGGGACACCGGCAGCATTCGACGCACAGAGACGATGCTGAGCGGAGACAGAAACCGACCCATATGTTATGTAACTTGTGTCGGTCAGGTGACGATCCTGAACTAAATCCACTGTGCTGTGAATTTCATCTGCCAGCCTCTAAAGCTGCTGCAGCTGCGTCATCGCCTCATTGCTTCTCCAGTGACGTTCGGTAAATTATACAGACGTGATCAGACAGTTTTAGGCCGCAAAATGTGTCTCTGCATCAGTCGCATCAATCTGTCGTCGGTCTAGTCGCTCAATATTTAAATATACAATTTCAAAAGCAGTTGTGGTTTGGGAGGATGGAGAAGGAACTGAGGGAAATTGTAGCCACAACAAAATAAAAGTTTGATCCGTACGTGTTGACGTTTTTCTGGATTTATACAACATAAAAAACCAACATGGATCTCAGAGAGGAGCTTCAGGTTCACGCTTCATGTTTAAATGGTTTGACTATCTAGAAACTGCACAGAAAAACCATCGTACATTTTAATTGAAGTGATTTAAAGCTAAAACGTTTGTATTATTTGGTTTATGAGACCTGCTAGACTCATATTAGTTTGTTTTTGAGCTGAGAGCTGCACTATAAGGCGAGATTAGTGAGTTAGCCAGATCTGTTGAGCCTAAAGTCAGAGTTTCCAGCATCATGAAGGTGGCTGTGTTTTCACCTGCTGGCTGATGCTGCACAGAGTTTGGGATTTAAATCTTTTCCTCGTGATTTTCTCTATGAGTGACACAGATTGTCAGCTGAGGAAACACATTTTATCTGCAAATCTGTTGAGCTGTAAGTTAGTAATGCCTCCAAATGAAGCCGACTAGTTAGAGAAGTGCAAGTTCTATGCGTCACGTTGCCATGCATTCAGTTAGTGATGCAGAAAATACATAACTATGTTGTTATAGTTGGTCCTGGTTTGCTGCCAAGTCTGCTTTACACTGCTGGTACTATAGCTGATAGAACACAGATTAGAAAATGGATTGTCTATGGGTTACACACAGGATATTCTATCAGTAGCATAAATTTCACTTTTGATTTTGCCACAGATTAAACCGATTATCGTGAGACAGCGTCGGACTTAAATGCACTTCTTCAGTATGATGTTTAAAGATGTGAAGCTTAAGGTTTCAGAGCTCTAATGTGCAGCTGTCATGGTAGAAATAAGTGGGAAAATCAATATATTAACAGTTTTCTACCAGCGTTACTCTCTTGCATCATTTGCAGCAACATTTTTAGATTCCTCACTGCTCTGACTGAAGTAGACAGGACAAAATTTTGTGCCAAAAAAAGAGTCAAATGATGTGTCAAACGTTCGTTCTTATGTGAACATCAAAGAAGAAGAAAACCTGGTTTTAGGTTTTGTTAAGCCAGCTAAGAGCAAAGAAAGTCTGGCTTTTGTAAACTTGCTTCGTAGTGCAGCCCTCAGGTTTAAAAAGTTTCTATCGGACACAAAAGAAACAGAGATTTCCGAGAAGCAAAGCAGCTAAGACAGTGAACTAGACCCTCTCTCTCAGATGTTTTATTTTATTTTTATGTGAAAAATGTTCTTTTTTAGATAGTCTAACCTTTAACAGATAGATTTCTTTTCAACAGGCGCTCATATTAACTGCTATTACATCGTTATCAGGCATCTCAAGGCAGTAAAAGTGAAAGAAGAGCACGCTGTAGGATTTAAAGTGGAGACCAGCTAAGATGATGCAACTTCATAGTTAAACAGAAAGAAAACATAGTTGTCCTTCTCAACATTATGTCTATTTTACATTTTGACTTTTTCGTGGATTTTTGCTGTCTGTCGTTCGTTGTCAGCCTTCAGGGAAGAGTTTCAAACACCCCAAGGAAGCAGCTAATCCTCCTCTCCTACACATACTCAAGTAAATACCATCTCAGAGTAGATTTCAAAAGCAGCAAGTGAACTGGTTATTTATCTTTTTAAAAAGCCAGCACTGGTGCCACAGAATTATTCCCCCATTACTTATTGATGAACTCCCCCGTCTCTCTCTCTCTATCTCTGTCATCTCTGATTCCATGCTGCGTGCTCACATGATGAAATGGAGAAAGCAATGACTGGAATGTGGAATTTGGTTGTGCGGATTTCAACATAAAGCGTACTGCAAGCAGACACTTGCCACCGTGTGCGTGCATGTGTGTGTGTGCGTCTTTAATCCTTGAAAAAAAAAAAAAAAAAGGCTGGCCCAAAAATCGGATGTTTTCTCATTCGAGTGTTTCCCAGACACACCTCTTTCTCCCTCTCTCGTCTCTCTTCTGTTTCTTCTTTTCCCGCCTGTCTGACCGTCTTCCCCATAATTTATTTTACAGTTGTCGGTAACTGCTTTGCCCTGGGAAAGAGAGAAGGGAGGGGGGGAAAAAAATCATAATTTAGACAAAGATGTAAGCTTCTTCTTCTTCTTCTGCTGCTGCTGCTTCCCCTCCTCCTCCTCCTTTTTTGTCTTTGACACACAGACACACATGCCCACAGCCTTGGGGCAGTATAGTTAAGGAGGTATGCAAAGTTAAGTCTTTTTTAGGACCTTGAATGGACAAAGCAGAGGGGAGGAAGAAGAAGAAAAAAAGAAGGGGGGTGGCATGGAAAAAGACAAAGCTTCTGATGAAGTGTGAGAGGAGAAAGAAAAGAAGGTTGTGAGCTGCAGGTGTGGCGGCGGCTTCCGTCTATCACGCACGGGGACGATGAAATATGGAGGTGAAGAGGAATCGGGGGCAGCTGATGTGAAGCAGAAACAGCAGAGAGAGAGAGAGAGAGAGAGAGAGAGAGAGACGGAGACGGCAAAGGTATTAGCAGCTCATAAAAAGGCACTTAGAGCTGCAGTTAAGCAACTCGCATTCATCACTGGTGGATCAACGGCAGCTGCTCCCGTTACGAGAAATGACAAGAGATGTTGAGATAAGACAAGTGTGAGGAGGGGAGGCGCGATAATGCAAACATCAACCTTAGTTATGAAAAAAAAAAATAGCCTCTCTAGGGAATTCAAACCATGTAAAAAAAAGAGAGGATGATGGTATGTGTTGAGAGAAAGTGTGCCAAGGCGCTGGCTGCTTCTGCAGACGCTGCATAGCCTGCAATTTCTGAGGGGGAAAGAAGAAGAAAGAAAAAAAGAAAAGGAGTGAGCCAGTATAATCAGCTGTATTGCACGAATCATCCGTCTCAGATCCTTCACTCCGCCCACAAGATACAAGCCTGCCATTCTTGTATTTTTTTCCCTCATTCACTCCACCAGGACGTCTCAGAGCAGGACGCACTCTGTTTGGACAAGAACTCCAAAATCTGGACCTTTAAAAACTCCACTCGGGATTTGAAATAAGCACCTTCTGTTTTCCTTTTTTTCTCTCTTTGATGCTTTTCTAAAGGCAGAAAAGTTGTGACAGATTTAGAAAGCAGCAGCAGCAGCCAAAAAAAGAAAGAGAAAAGTCAAGAGAGAGCTTTGCCCTGAAGGTTTCAGAGGAAGAAACAGATAAAGAGGCAGCAACAATCTAAGAGAGAGAGACGGAGGGAGTGAAGAGCACAGCTGTTGTGTGAAGAGAAGGAAAAATACTGATAAAGAAAGCCAGGAGGTGCACAAGTGTGAAGGGCGAGGAGAGGAGGCTGACGAGGACGACCAAGGCTGGAGAGGAGATAAACGGCACATTGAGCAAGCAGCAAGGCAGACGCTGAGGATATAACTCAAGGCCGAGGGGGACGCAAAGTGAAGACAAAACTTAAACGGAGGCGTTTTTTTTTTTTTTTTTAGAGACACCTGATGCCAAAATTAGCAGCGAGAATGGAAGCGCGGCAAGATCGGAGGAGAGGCTTCCTCTGAGCACAGACGAGAGTTGCGCTTGACGTGAGGAAGAGGAGAGGATTTCCTCATCATGATTTATTCAGCCGATTTCCCAAATTCCAACAACCCGCGCCGGAAGAGCAACTTCGTCCCAGGATAGAATGAAGGCAGGAGCGAAGAGATACCTGCCGAATCTGTGAGACCTTCCTCTCCTCCTCCTCCTCCTCTTGTCTTGAACTCACTCCTCCTCTGTCCTGATATCTCCTCTCCTCCTCCACCACCTCCTCCTCCTCTCCATCTCCTCACTATGTGGATACCAGCTGTGCTCCTATGGATGCTTAATATCAGCAGTTTGTGCTCAGGACAAGACTATACAGACTATTACCAACCTGGAGACATGGGCACACAGGTAAGACTCGACACACACTCAGCCTGAACCTCCCTCACATCATGACAGGTGGCGAATTAAAGCTGTGAGATGAATGAATGAGTGAAGAAGTGCAGATGCTTCCACAAGTGATCACTGAGGAGAGGCAGCAGATTCTCCACTATATCTTTTGTATGAATGCACTTTTAAAGCAAACTTACTCTCTGATGTTCTGCTCTGGTTGGCCTTATGAATAAAAACTCAGGTAAGCCGACGCCGGCAGGTAAGCTCACGGTCATGTGACTAGTTCAAATAGCTCGGGCTGGTGTGTGTTACAGCAGCCTTGAGAGATGAATCAGATTGCATCGTGGCACGTGGCTTACGGTGGTTTAAGGGTGGTGGCAGCAGAGTTTAGAGGTCCGACGATGTGCTTTTTCTTCCCAATAACTAGAAATTAATATTATGTAACCGATACTACATGCTGGCAGCCAGATTTTCAGACAGAGGTCTGGCTCCCATGTGGGACAATAATTCCCAAGTTTCACTCTTTGTTTCGATTCAAGCAGGAAAAATTCACACAAGATAAGCACATGTTAGCAGCTTGGTTTCATTTAGGCACCACAACGACTTGGCGAGAGTTTGGGTTTAAATACAAGCCTTTAAAAACATTTTTGGAGGATTAGGCTTAATTTTCTTGGTTACCAGATTATTAGGTCCCGTCCCATTCAATAGCTGGCACAAAAGGAGCCAATTAAAAAAGCCATTAAAATAAACGGCAAAGACATGTTGATTAGAAACATGTTCGAGACACGCCACAGACGAATCCAACAACTGAGAGCAGAGTTTAGTTCTGTGGAAATGTAAGTTTTGGTTGAATGAAATTTAGCACAACACAAACTCCTTCATCCTCATCTTTTTGTGTTTATGGTTTACATGTTGAATCAAAAGAGACCTTTAAACATTTATCCCTCAGTGGTGATTTGTTTTGACTCAAGACATGCAACTAACATCCATCCATCATCTATACACGGCTTAATCCTCACTGGGGTCGTGGGGGGCTGGAGTCTATCCCAGCCGACTTAGAGTGAAGGCAGGGGACACCTGGACAGGTAACCAGTCTAACACAGGGCTACACTTAGAGACAGACAACCAAGCACACTCACCTTCATGCAACTCATATAAACTGCAAAATATCCCATCCAATGATTGGCCAATAACAACTGGAAATAATCTCTTAATAATTGAACCAATACTGGACTCTGTGTCTTTGTCTTTCCGTCCATACAGTCGTTGTAGCTGTTTCCTAGTCTGACACAATTAGGGAGGCTTCAGTGATAAATAGGCTGATACTAAAACACAGCCAAAAAACACAAGTTGCACTTGCAAAAACGAGGTGTGGAAATCAGAAACTAGGTTACAATCACATTAAAATGATGATACAGACGATCTGAAAAATGATGGATGTCAGATCCAGTGACTGGTAAGGCTGAGTCAGTAGATATCACTTTCATTTTTTCAAAAAGGAGAAACAAGCCCTGATTTGGAATTTTCAGATTTTGACTGGATTTGTTAGCGAACCAAATTCCTCAGTATTTCTGATGCCAGACTGAATCGACTTCTCCATTTGGGTATACCACAGCTAAGCGCTTTAGTAGAATGCTAATATAAAGCAAACTTTAACCAGGAGGAGGCCTGCTAAAGAGTTCATGGCAAACAAGGGGGTATCATCAGCATAAAAATTCACATTAAAATACAATTATAAAGCAAATACTATTTAAAGATAAACTGAATATCAAGGGCTCCAGTATTGATCCTTGTGGGACACCTGAAGGCTTCAAGAGCTTAAAACACAAATATATGATTTGAACCAATTGTAAATTGTCTTCAAAACAATGGGAAGGGTTTTTTTTTATGAAATCAACTGTATCAAAAATGGATGAGGATGAAGGATTTGTTTCCAGAAAGGCACTGAAGGATCTTATGCTTAAATATAAGCAAGGTCTTTTCCGTGCATTAAATTTAAGAACATCATCAATTGCTTTTACATATTGCCCAACAAGTTTCCTTTTTTTGTTGTAAAAAGACAGCTTGCTTCACAAATAAATTTGGACTCTGTTTAAGTGACTTCAGTTGCCATGGTTTCATAAGTCTGCTTTACAGGAAATGCGGTCATGAGCCAGCCAAAGAATTTGGAGGTTATTAGAATTTAGACATAATTCTCTGGAAGTCACTAAAAGCTTCCGACTCATCAAAAACACTCCTTGAGTCACGATGCTCGCGTCATTCAGCGGTGGTTAAGTAGTGGTATTCGGTTACATACATGACATTTACTCACTTCCTTGCCAAGTATCGTTTCAACATGCGTGTCAGGAGATGTTAAGCAACACGCACTTGGAATTCAATGAATGACTGAACTTCAGTCATGTATTTCAACGGGACTGGCCTTTTGTCGGTCGTTTGGAAAAAAAAAAAAGGAAGAAAATTGCGTTTACGTATCAGCAGTGTGAGGCATAGGATGTTTATAACAGAAAACAGGCCGAGTGACAAAAACATGGGTGTGGGTACATGTTTGTGTCTACGTGCCAGCAGCGTGTGATGTCGGACACACCCCTGAGCGCTGGACGAGTGGTCATTCGTCCATCATGACCTCACAGTCTCTTGGCAATGACCTCGTGTCGTGTGATCAAGTTTACAGCACATATGAAAGAGGAACAGAAAGAGGAAATGCGGGAAGCTCTTGCAAGAAAGAAACATCCTCTAATGTATACTGGCATAAATATATTTATGTATACAGAGCTGACAAAAAGTATTCAACCCCCCTCTGCTTGGAAGTTTTCTCCTCTTCTTGCTTTTCAACATTGAAATATGGTCAGCTTAATCTGGCTTTTTCAAATTTAGAAAGAAAACATTCACAGATTTTGACAAAATAATGTCAACCGATAAAAAAATATAAAATAAGAGATCGCATAAGCATTCACTCCCTTCAAAGTGACTCATCTAATTCAACACAGACGCAGCAAACTGTTGCTGGAAGACACGCGATTGGTGAAATGGAGATGATGTGAGTGCAGTGAATGTATCTCAAGTGACTGTAGTGGAAAGACACCTGTATCTGGAGGGTCCAGTTACTGTTCAATCCTGGATGTAACTACACCATGAAGGCAAAAGAACACTCCTCAAAAAGCACAAGTCAGGGGATAGATACAGCAAAATTTCTCTAACTATCCATTGGAGTCCAGTTAAATCCATCATTAAGAAATAGGAATATGTGCCTAAAGCAGGCTGCCCTCAAAAACTGAGTGTACAAGAAAGAGACGACCGAGACACCAACGACTTCTCTAAAGAAGTGGAGACAGGAAAACAACTGTTACCAATCCTTCACCAGTCAACACTTTTTATGAGAGAGCAACAAAGAGAAAGCCACGGCTGGAAAAAGCTTGTATTAAGTCTTGACTAGAGTTCACCAGAAGGCATGTGGAGGACTCAACTGGAAGAAGGTTTTTTCAGTCTGATGACACCTGAATTAAGCTTTTTGGCTGTTACACCAGAAACTATCTGCGCACACCATCCTCACTGTGAAGCACGGTGGCGGCAGCATCATGCTTTTCAACAGCAGGCCCTGGGAGGCTTGTAAAGATGGAGAATGAAATGAATGCAGCACCGTGTGGGAAATACAGTTAATGCAGTTTTTGTTGTGCAGGAATTCTAAACGTCTCTTATTTGGCAGCTGTGACACACAAACCCAGAGGGGAGGTAAACAATGACAGAAAAATATGTTGATATAGATGAGATGGATGAAAAGAAAACAGAAAGGGAGGGAGGAGGCAGACAGAAAGAGATACATGGAGAGATTGATGGCAGCATGGAGGTCTGGTTTCTGCTGAGGTCATGCCAGCTGTGCCAGTCGGCTCCTTCTCAGCCTGGGAAACTAAACAACCACCCTCGTTCCCTGGAGGAAGAACTAATAAGTGCCACTCCAACAACAATAACAACTCCCAGCCGACAGTTAATATCCCACAGATGATACAGCAGCTTCTATTAGCCCGCCTGTCACACAATTAACCTCATCTTTCATCTGCTGCATTGCCACGGAGCCGAGCAGCCATCTATCACGCTGGCAGAAAAATAATTACGAGGATGACTCACTGCGGGAATGGTTTATAGAGCGATATCTCCTGTAAACTGAGATTTCCTGTATGGACCTGGTCCACCGCTTAACAGCAATGTGGCTGAGCTGACAATCTGCAGTCTGTTTGAAACGTTTAAGCAGCTTCATTACAGAATACAGGCAGGTAGTTTATTCCTCTAAACCCTAAGCAAGTTTGAAAGGGATGTTATCTTTAAAAAATTGGCTAAATTACATCATTATAATATACTATTTAAATTACATCAGTACTTTTCAGTGGAACTACT